TTTCAGATTCAGACTCTCCTTAAGGTTGATAAAGAAACAGTTACAAAAACAATTTATACATCGACTGTATATCAAAGGTGACCACTATAGCCCCTTTTCCATTAGTTTCTACTCAAATAGACCTGCTCGGCCGGGGTTCCAAGGCGAACCAAGTAGGTACTGAAATGTGATGTCGTCAAACTGCAGGCCAACGATTGGCTAGTCTGTGCCGACACTCAGTGAGTTAGGAGAGTGTCTCATTCACTGAAATCAAAAAGGAAATTTGTAATATAAAAAAAGCCCCAGAAAACACAGCAACAATGGAAATGGCTACAAAATGCAAAGCCGTGGTCCCAGAGTCTGACAGAAAGTTAACTACTGAGCACCAGGCATATCGTCCACCTTTGTTGTAACATTCATGATGCATACTAATTCCATCAATCTAAATGTAAATGTTTGACAGAAAGCACTTATATAAAAAACAGCATAGATGTATGGGTGTGAATGGGTAAATGAGGGTCCTCAAGTAGAGTAGAAATGTGCTATATAAGAACAGGTCCATTTACCATTTTGGATGACATATTTTGCAGATTCAGTGTTAGAATTTTGTCCACCGCCATTCGGGTTTTTTGGAGCTAGACATGTCAAGGAGTGGAGTGCTAACTTACCAGCTAATGTTAACTTGGTTACACTGTTTGAACCCAACATTTTCAGTGGGAGAAACTTGTTCTTCCAAGTGACTCCAGGCTCAGCATTCTGCAGGTTTCCCCCAGTTTAAAAACGGTACAACTGCATTACGATCTAAACCAGCACCATTGCATAACAATGAGCAGATCAGATCAGTTTCATGCTCATTCATATGCAAATTATCACAGCAGTTAATCAATGACCACGAGTACTACTCACTGAGAGTTGGAGAATGGCTGCAATCACAGCACTAAACAATACTGAAAGATGTCCTCTTAGATTCCCTCTTTGGCTCAAAGATTGTCATTCCCCTTTTTTTACTTAAGGAGGTCAAGAAGGCAGCTTATGTGAAAAGGTAACGGCCACCTCTGTGAATAGTACTCAGGGCCATTAACGGTCATGACAATTCATTGTTAAGCAATGGTGGTTATGCAAGTGTATTGTTAATAAAGTCAGACTAAATTAATCAACATTCTGGGATTTAGATAGCACATGCTTACTATTTCTATTTAACTGACTAAAAGCTACAACGTCACTCGTCAAAACTAGAGTTTGTGTGTATGTGTGTGTGGATGGTCTGTCACTACAATTAACCACACAAAAAGACATTTTATTTGTCATTTACTGGCATTAATGGGATCAAAAGAATAAATAGAGAGGTTCAATTTAAAGAGTCAAATGAGCTGACAAACGTGAGGCCTTGAAACCTATATTTAAGCCCTGATAAAACCCAAATGAGTAAGTTCTAAAAACGAAAACTGTGAACACGTTCAAGTCAGACATTTTAATATTGGAGTCTATGGAAATTGACTTACTCTGAAAGTCTGCCTCAGGTGGACTTTATAGAAACTGCAGGGTTTCTTTTAGCTTTCGTTATTGGTTTCATTTTTGCTCTTATTGCACATTTATGGAGGTATGAGGTGTGTCCACTGTAATCTCAATATCTGGATGAACTTCCCACCAATGTTCAAGCACTTTGGTTTAGCTTGCTTCGGTCACCCAGCTGTTCTTGGCCCCCTGCTGCCACAACTCTGGTCATACAGACATTGTTACATTGTTGTAATGCTGTTATTAAGAATGAATTCTGATTGGCTACTTTGCTACTGTGCACTACATTGTAACTTCTCAGACTGAAGCCGAGCCTCTGGTTGGTCCACTGAGTGTGAACAGAGGTGAGCTCACAAACAGTCCAGAGTCAGCATTGGTACCACAGCTGAACTGCTGACTGATTATCGGTTTGCTGTGTAACCACTGATCGATTAGTGTGATGGGCTACCTGTAGTAGTAGACGTCGCTCTTTCCGGCGCTCAGCCCGGACTTCCTGATCACTTCTTCTTTCTTCCAACCGGGCGGCAGAGCGGGACAGTCCGTCCTCTTTCTCTCCATCATAGCGCGTGTACCGATCCCACGGTTCAGGCTCCTGTAGGATTAATCGATCACTTGGTAAATCCCGGCGTGGACCCCCCAGACGCGCGGCGTGCTGGTGAAAAACCAGCGGAGCGACGTCACGGACGTTACGTTAACGGTGGCTCTCACACTCCCTCCGCCCTGCTTGTTTATGCTGCTTATTTTGGGTCGAACAGAAACAAACACAGCGTTCCGGTTCGGGCTGTTCCGGGTTAAACCGCCTCCAGGTCCGGGTTTACTTCAGTTTACCTCCTGAGAGAAGCAACGGCTCATCCGGGGATCCGATCTGATCTAAAGTGAACTGAACTGAACTGAACTGAACTGGACCAACGGCAGGCTGTGACGTCTGAGATATCACACACACACACACACACACACACCGCGATTAAACTCAGACGCGCACGCTCACACGCACAGACACACTCCCCCAGAGATCGTCTTGAGATCAGAACACTCACTCGGTGTTAGTTTAGGTGAAACAGACTCTATCAATCTATAGTCTGAGGTATGAATAAGCCTGTAAACGTTTGCATAATAATAATAATAATAATAATAATAATAATAATAATAATAATAATAATAATAATAAAAATAAATTATTGTTTTCAAAATAAAATTGAATATTATTTGAAAGTCATAATTTTTTTTTGCAAAAATAGATAAATAAATAAACAACCATGAACTGAATTCGTCATGGAAATATATAAGCCAATATTTGCAAGGTCTGACCAACTTAATCGACCATGACACTATGGGAGTACAATAGACTGCATATTAAAGATGGAGGTAGCCACTGATTTTTGATTCCACATTTTAGACTATAGACATTCACTCCCCAAAAATGAATCACAGACATCTGGAACTGTTTCATGGTCGAACAGAGAGAGGGGCAGGCATGCAGTGAGTGTTAAAAACTATGAAAAGTGTCATTGCAAACACACTGTGCTTTTCAGACTTTACAGTTATCCCATCCTATCGCTCCGTTCTCTACTCTGTGTCCTCTGTCCTCTTTTTTTCTGTCCTCTGGTTGGTCCACTAAGAGGCAAAAAAGTTGGTTATCTACCCTATCCACGTCTTTTGGCACCAACCCCGATTGGTGCCAGAACACAATAATCAGATGATTTCTGATGAGTGGTATTTGGCAACAATTAGGGAGGAAGAACTCCTTTTAAGAGGAAAATACCTCTGCTTACACTTGTTTTTTGTCGTGTTGTTTTTTTGTTTGTTTTTTAATTTCCCAGATGGCCTTATATTTTCGTCTATGCGATAAGTTTGTGTCGACATGTTATGCTGGTGCTTTCTGGTGCCTGCAGTTTCAGGGGGAGTGATCCCTCTTTCTGTGTTATTCAACATCCCCACACCTCCTGGCTCACTGACGTCACAAACTCTGGGTTAAAGGGGCCTGCAGCAGAGACAGGAACCCCGGAAAAATACTTGGTCGTCCCAACATGGCTAACCTACAGTTCTCTCTGAGAAAGAAGTGAAAGCGGATTTTTTTGTAAAAACGGTTTTTTACAATGTAAGTAAACCAGTAGTGATGAAAAGGAAGACGTGCCCTTCTGCTTATGAAGTTATCACAGGACAGAACAAACAGGGTGTTAAATATGCAGCCTTTTAGTATAAATTAATGGTGCCCCCCGAAATAAATACACAAATAAATAAATAAATAAATTGGTGAATTTCAACAAAATGGTCTTTTTAAACAAAAAATGAGCATGATGTTTTTAAAATGGTTATATGCTACTTTAATTAGTCCAGTAAATTAACAACACATTAATAAGTTATCTGAAGGAATTAAGTCCTGCTACCAGTGATATTCGAAAGCTTTATTAGTTTATTATTATTTTTATTACTCTTGTTGTGTCGTGTTAATATTGTCTTTTCAACTCTTGTGTGTGTGTGTGGGTGGGTGGTGGTGGGTAGATTATCACAATTATCTCAATTTAATAATTTAATCCCAACATTAAACTGTATATAATCCCCCCCCCCCACACACACACACACATTTCAGCTCTGTGTGGGAGTCTTGACCGCTGTTTTTCCAGTCTCAACAGTGTCTCCTCTCCTTTCCCTGCTCTCACTAACACCTCCTCAGACACCGTGGCGCACTCAGAGACGGAAGAAGGGGAATAATAATAATTCCGGTGACACCAAATCATTATACTGTCGTCAGTGCAATAATTGCTTACAATTGAATTTTAGAAATAAAACAAGACAATTTTTCTCTCTTTTTTGGGGGCATTCACGTGGACTTGTTTTCATAACTCAACGGAGTTCATCTTTAAATTCGGCATATCTTACACACACAAACGATTATGCGTTCTAATATAATGTAAACTTTATTTGCTCTTTCACTCATGTATACCATGTTTCTGCATCACGATAAGCCACTGATGGCGGTAGTTAAACATATTAATCTGTCTGTAACAGACACCGAAACTTTCTTAAGATCATAACACACCTTAACTGTGTAAACCGTACTTATATATGAAGCATGTGTTTACCGATACTATGATTATTATTAATGACCAGATTCTTTTAACGGAGTTTGGTGGCAGCGTCTGCCGGGTACCGGAAGTGGCTCCGGCTAACTGTGAGCTAGCTTTACCCGGGATCCTTTGAATTTGCAAGCGTCAGTGTACGCAAAAGGGTTGGGCACGGAGTACGGTGAAAAGGAGGCATTTCGGAGTAGAAGTATGAGTGTTTTATATTTGTTTTATTTGATAAAGATTCAGGAAGTTTGAGGAAGTGCCTGGTTAAGATTTCCGTTTACACCCTAGCAGCGCTGCTAAGTTGAACTTTAACATCAGTGAGAAAACTTTTGCGACATTTGTGAGTACGTTGAGCCAGAAACATTTGTGTATCACGTTATAAACTCTGTATAAACACTAAACTGTTGCTGTACGTATGGGGTTTAAATCTGCCATGTAACGGTCTGTTTAGTTTATTTTTTGTTCGATGTTTTTGGGGTTTTTTGCTGCATAGCTCAGAGCTCGGCTAAAGGCAAGCTAGCAAACAAACGCAGTCTAAAGAAAGCCCTTTACTGTCCCGTTTAAAGCGAAAACCGGCAAAGCTATCACTGACAACAACCTGACACATACTCCGCAAGGTGGTTAGCTTTCTAACGTCTCAAACAGCTGCTTTTGCACAGGTAGCTCCACGCCTACTTGTGGAAGGTTTAAATCACAGCTGGCATGGCTCTGATTGGGCATGTCAGCTGTGAATAAACAAATGCTGATAACAGTTTTAACACCTCTGTAAACATTTTAACCATTATTCCCTCGACGTTTAGCGATTTAAAATGTACTCTTCTTGTTTTTTGACAGCATGGAGTACAGCGGTCCATTGGGCCACTCTCTGTCACCAGAGTCCACGGTGACCTCCCTACTATCCAGTTCAGGTTACCTGAGGAGCAGCTTGCTGCCTCCTCAACACGACACCAGCTTCAGATACAAAGACAGAGTGGGTGGGATTACTTTCCACAGCAGGAATGGACAGAATGAAGAAATCTCCCTTTGTTATTTTATCTGTTTCTGGGTTCTGTTCTGGGTGTTATCAGGAGAGCTTCTCTCCTGACAAATGATGATGTTCTCTTTTTGATTGTGACAGAGTTTAAAATTGTTTCATTTTCCAGTAAAACATTGAGGAAAAACTGCTAAATTCAGAAAAAAATATGTGAATTTGTTTTAAAAGAAAAGAGTAAATTCATGTGAAGTTCATGAGGAAGTGTGTGAGAGGTGTATGAGAGATAACTCAAACATTTATGTGAGAGGGAAGACATTTTTAAAAAGTCTGAAATTTGTTGTTCTTTTCTTATCAAAAACTTTAGTGATGAGGATTTTAAAACAGGAAGCCTACACTACTGTCTGATTGCAGGAGTATGACTCTGCTTCGGCGGCTCTGGACGCTTACATCAAAGACTTTGAGAGGAGTCGTCAGAACCGCGACTCGTCGTTGACTGGAAAGCTGGTTCTGCCACAGAACCTACCCTCCACTCCGTGCAGGCACAGAGTGGGCACGCTCAGAAACAAAGATGGTAGGTCCTGCTGAGGGTCAGGTATCTTATAACGTTGATATATCTTGGTGCTTTTTATGTCTTCTGTGGTTTTATGTTATCTGAGTGATTCATCTACATTGCATTTTTCTCTTTTTGTTTCAGTTCTTAGGGAGCGTTTGACCGAGAGAGAGCTAGACTTCCTGAACCTCCCCGTGAGCCCCCTCCATCACCGCGTTAACTGGGACAGACACTCCATGACAACAGATGAACTGCTGTCCGTCCCTTTCGACGGCTCGATGCCCATCACCCACACCACCGCCTTCATCCAAGGTTTTTACACATTTCATACTCAACCTTTAAACTCTTAAACACGTGTTTGTACATTTTTTAGTTTTCTTTGATCTGTATGATGTCAGTAAGAGTAGGGATCTGTGATTTCGTAGAGTCCAAGACTGAAAATGTGGAGCTGGAAGTAAATGCATCCCTCACCATTTTTCTCAGTCTGAAGTTTTTAAATGTGACAATCAAGAATCTGCTCTTATACCAGTTCATTAAAAACATCTACAATGTAGTCTTCATTCATGTCATTAAATCCACCACTTTTACCTAAAAACATCCTGGCATCTGCCTTTAAACGCATAACTTCTGCAGCTCAGACTCTATAATCAACGTTAAATAATCCATAGATGATTCAGTAATAACAGAAGTGATGACTTTTGCCTCACTCCTCTCCTCTGCTGGTCCAGACCTCCTGTCCTGGCCTGCAGCCTCCCAGCCCTGCCCCTCATCTACCTGTAGACTCCTCCACCATCACTCTCTTCCACCGACGACGTCCAGGAGCTTCAGGTTTGAACTGCTTCCTTTCTCGTTCAGATCGACCAGGCATATTTCCTGGTCGATCTGAGTTACAGGTTATTACTTTCCCCTCCTCCCTAGGTGCAGAGACAGGCCGAGGGCCGCCACTTTTAAACCAGGTGCTCACATCAGCAGTTTTAAGGTGACCCTCACTGTCTTTTCTGGATTATTCTGAGACTGTAGCAGTGTCATAAACACAGTTGCTTCCCCTTTTCAGAGATCAGAGCAGGCCCCGGTATCCTCGTCGCTCCACCTCCCTCACTGGTTCACCAGTAACAAGGCTGACTTGGACTGTTCGGGAATCACCAGTGTGCCCGACCTGAAGTACCCAGCATGGCTCCAGGGGTGTGACCTCAGCGAGCCGCCTGCACAGTCAGATCTGTGGGACGACCACGGTAGCTTCCTCGACTACATATGCACAAGCCTTCCAAGATGTCATAGTATTTCATCATCATTTAACAGATTGTGATTATTAATGTTAAAGATAAATCTATTAATAGGTTATTCTTTATTATTTTATATTAAGCAGCCCATCAGTGTGTAGAGTCATAAATATGAGCTTTTAAAACTGATCTAGTGAGGGGAAATGTTGAATTTGATATTGGACTGGGTGGGTGGAGTCTATCCCAGGGAAGTAATTTCACCATTAAACTATGACTATTTTCTGTTTATTTGAAAGGGTCATATTTGTTTTTTCCAGACGTTCTCCCACCTGGAGCTCCCAGAACCAGAGCTCCATCCTGGGTAGCAGACCTGGAGAAAGATGAAGATCCTGACCAGACACCTGCAGAGGTGAGAGAAGCAGCTGCAGCGCAACTGTCAGTTGTATGGTCCTGCTGCTCTCGTTGTTCATGAAGACTGTAGAGCTTCTGTGGAACTGTGCTTTCCTCTGGACTCTTTGTGTGTTAAAGAACGCCTTATGATGTGGTCAAGTGCTCTAAATAAACCACATTCTGTCACATGTGTGTCCCAAAGGCAGAAAAAGAGCTTCATCGGTCAGTTGATGAAGTAATAGGTTTTCTCTGTGTGTGCTTAGGTTGGCAGCCAGCAGGCGCTCAGAGACCTGAGGCTTCAGTTTGCTGAACAGATTTCTTTGCTCACTACAGAGAGGAAGAGCTCAGACGTTGTGATGAACATGTACCAAGGTAAAAACACAAGTCTTTGAGTATGTAATGTTAAAAATTCGAGGTGTAAACAAAATAGGTCCACAATTGTTCTCTGTAAATCACCACAAACATAACTTTCAGATCTCTATTCGTGTGACTTTCAGAAAATATAAATTAAAGTTAAAGTACAGTTAAAGGTTTACTGCTTTGACGCACAAAAGAGACCCAGTGACCATCACAGAGGCAAAACAAGGTTCCTGCAGGTCATTAAAAAGTTTAAAATCATGTAAAGCAAAGAGTTAAAATGACTGGGCTTCTTTGCTTGGGCTGATGGATAGATGGACTAATAACAGACAATACTCAGCTCTGAAAAACAAACTAATCCTAGAGTCGACGAAAAAAATACATTACATTGGATTATTGCACTGTTGAATATTGTTTAGTCATTCTTTACTCATTGATTGCATATCAGGGAAGGCCATAATCACAATGACATCACTAACTGGGTTTGGATTCTGTATTCTGAAGGTGTTATTGCTTCAGATGCCAACATATTGTCTTTAGAGCCTGAAGTCACCACATTTCAGATATCAGTGTATGAGTGCATCACACACACTGACGGAGATGGCTGCTAATTAGTGCCAAGTAACACCCAAATTCAATCCTTCACTCACCTTCACTAGACCCCAGTGTTCTTAGACAATCTGTTCATACAATTAACTGCACAGCAGCCATATTAGATGCTCCAAAAGGCTCCAGCAGCACAAACAGGGTTCAGATGTTCAGGTCAGAGAACTGTTGGGGACTGACTCAATTCTGGAACTTGGGACTAAACAGAGATCTAAAACTAGCAGCTGTACAGAACGTGGTCAAGAGGTACAAGAGAAGATCCTCTTGAACATGAGACTGGCCAAATTCAATTCATATAGTCTTATTTTCTTATTTTTCCCCTTTCAACCACACCTCCTATGACAACCTTTCACTCTTTTAAACTTTTCTCTTTTTTGTTGTTGTTTTTGTTTTTTGCTAAACTTGTTTCTGATGTGTGTTCCCACCTGTCAGACAACAGGATCGAGTCTCTGATCCAGAAGGCGGACCAGGTGTTAAACTCTCTGTCTCGGAGTTCTGGACAAGCAGAGAGTCCTGCAGATCCAGGTAAAACCGGGATTCATTCAAAGGAGCAGGAAGTCTTTTACACTGAATAACACTTATACCAAAGTTTTTGTTGTTGTTGTTTTTTAAAGCACAGCTGTGTCTGGTTCTTGTTGTGACTGTTTAAGCAGACTTTAACTTATTACCAACAAGCTGGAAATGAAGCAGGTATCCGATCAGTTCTTTGTTTCTGTTGTTGTCAGTGATTCCTGTGAAAACTGAGGAGCTGCTGCACCATTCTCCCTCACACTGTCCTCTGTGAGTAAGACTCATTTACACTTCTGGTGTGTTATGATCTGCTGCAACTCCACGCAGACTCATATATGTGGTGGCATTTTAACCCTGCAGAGACTCAGCAACAGGAGGCTGCACAGAGGAGCTGACTGACAGGGGAGCAGAGGTAGGTTTACTGTCATGTTCTACAATGTCAGCTAATTGTGTAATTTTCATTTATTCTCGTCTCCTGAGTGATGCCCAGATGTGAAACACATTAACCTTTCAGGTCAGTGGACAAGGCCTCCTACTGCAGTGAGCCTGTTTGACTCACTACAGTAGTTTTTCTTTGTATTCACATTAGACTGGTTGAATTTAAAGGCTTTTTAGGCAATATTAGTTTTTTCTTTTTAAACACAATAATTTACCTATTAAATATACGTTTAGCACTGGGGGTCTTATAAAGTAAATTCTGAATTTCTGTTTTGGATGGGTTGTAAATATTTTTCGTCACATAACTATGAGAACTTATTCATATTCCATCATTGGCACAATTTGTGTCTCTAAATATGTGATTTTTTTCTACCAAATGAAACTGTAATATTTCAAAAGTTGTGGCCCTTCTCATGTAAAAAGTAGTTGTGTTGATTGCTTCGGTTTTATTGTAATAACTTGAGCTAACTTGTGTAATTTTGTAATAAACAAGTATCACATAATCTGTATACAGTATTACCTTGTGCTCATTGTGTCCCACTGTTATTCAGTTGATTCGCTGGTGTGATCATACATGTGTTGCAGAATGTTTGTGATAGCCTATTGGGTTTTTACAAACCAGATCAGCCCAGTTGTCAGGTTTTTTTTTCCTAAGGCTGAACAAATGAGTGCTAGTCAACTCAGTTGAAGGCCTTCTCTACATCTACTGGCAAAACAGTTGTTTCTGAAGCTAGTGTTGTTTGTAATATCCCCCTCTTGTTTGTGCTCTCCCAGGATTTGAGTCATGAAAACAGCATCTGGAAGCAGCCTGGTCCGGTGGAGGCTCTGAAACAGATGCTGTTCAGACTGCAGGCTGTGGAGGCGGAGCTTCAGCGACAACAGCAGCCACCAGCAGCTCTGACTCTCTCAGAGTGGCTGCTGACATCAGCAACACAGGTACAAGGATACAGATCTTTAGAAAAAGTGGATAATAAAATGCAAATCTGTGTCTGAGTTTAACGTTTAAGGAAACAAGATTTAAATTATTAAGAGTCTGTTTGTGTTGCAGTGGTCTGTTGGTAACGCAGAGCTGCAGGAGCTGCAAGAGCTTCAGAGTTTTCCTGGTAGACCATCACTAGAGAGGTAACTGACTCCGATCAAGTTATTTATCCCTTTAGAAAGAATGTGGAGACTGGACTGATAACCTGTGCTTACAGTTTAAAGACAACTGCATCAAAGACACCACTTTTGCTTCAGGCAAAAATTAAAAGCATTATTTTACTCAAAACGTCACTAGAAACTATGTCAAGAAATCAAATGCCATCCTGTCTTGTAAGGCAAAGGGGGGTCCACACAGGAAACAACTAGCAATGATGTGGCAGCCAGCAAGTGACATTTAGTAACTCATAGTGAGTATGGGCCGAATAACCACTGGTGATGCAAAGCAATACTACTACTGATGATGATGATGATGATGATGATGATGATGATGATGATGATGATAATAATAAATTAAAATGTATTTTTGAAAACTCCAAGATAAGTCCTTTTGTTCTACTTTCAGATTTTAGATAAAAGACAGTCAGCTTCTGGGTGTGAATCCTGCGTTTTTCCGATGGCCAGCAGGGGGCAACATCTATGGCTGTTGAAACAAGTCAGAGTCTGTAGAAGTCTATGAGAAAGTGACCCAACATCTTACTTGACCTGTTACCTTAAGCTGGGCAAACACTGTGGGATTTTGCGTTATTCAGCTCCTGCTCAAACTGCACGACTGACTCGCAGGGGTTAGAAGTTCGTAGGTCACGTTGCAGGGTCTCTATGCTCTGATGCGACCTGAGTGCTCACACTGTGCGTCCATAATATGAAGGTTATAACAGAAAATCTGTCGCTCACTCTCCCTCTCTGTCTTTCACTCACACAGACACGCACACCACCACCGTCAACTTTGCTAAATTGCTAATGAAAAACATTGATAAGGCAGCTGGGATTGATCAGCAATGTCCATCCAATTATTTTCACGGTTGTTGTGGTCGTGATAATTTTGTGAGGCCACATCGAAAAGGCTCGGATGAGCTTTCCAAAGTTCTACAAGTTGTGCCTCCATCGCTTGTGTCCAGATCACACGCAGCACTGCTGTGCTACTCTGTCTTTTCACTTTCATTTCTGTGTTTGTGCGTGCGCAGTGTGAGAGGCTGCGGTGACACCCTCACGACGGCCGACAGGATTTCAAACAGGTTTGATTTTCTTACGACCAAGCGATTGATTATTTGGGAGCTGGTCGTGAGGTGTTAATCGCTTCTGTTACCCCACGTATACTACGCGATGCACGACACACGATGAAGGCGAAACTCGGGCCGATCCCCAAAACGGTCGCACGACTGAAAAATCGGCTCAAAATGAGCCAAAAATCGCACAGTGTATGCCCAGCATTAGTAAACACTTTCACAATGAGTTTATGGTCTCTGTTGCTAGTTTAAAGTCTTACTGAGTCAAATGTGATTATTAGGGCTGTGTGATATGACCAAAATCTCATATCCCGATATAAGACATCTATCATTTCCAATAACGATATAAATCACAAAAATGTAACATTTTCTGTAAATTCTGTGAATCTCGGGCAGCTCGACTTGCATGAAGTGTTTTCAGCTGGGCGTCATGTACCTGGAGTTATGACTTTTAGCCGATGCATGAATTTATACATTTTTAGACATAAGTTGTAACGGCCGCGTTTTCTTTGTGAGTATTTATTACACGGCGTGCTGCGGGGAAAAGCCTGTTCTAACGTTTGAGTCTAAGGTTTATTTTTTAGCACCTGGCGGCTCTTTTTTACTTCTCATCCGTAAACACTCCATACTCTTTCACGGGATTTAGTTTATTTTGAAAAGTCTCAACAGGATCTTGAGCTTTATTGTGGAAAGGTTAATATGCAAAACAAACAAGCGGACGGCGGAGCCACGCCATTGTTTTACCGTCGTGGTTGCTAACGACAACGTGTAAAAACAGTCGCTTGTCCGTCCGTAGTGTGGTTATATTAAATATAAGGGAAAGAGAGAACTTTAACAAATTAATATAACCACTACAATGACCATCAAAACGATGAAAAAATATTGCCGTAAACATTATATGAAATGATAGACGTTTTTATATCGTCACCCGATATATATCGTTATATCGAACAGCCCTAGTGATTATTACATTTGAAGTAAAAGAAGGATCATAAAACAGGATGTAAGTTAGTGACTGACAAGTCATCCGGTGTCCTTCAGAGCCCTCAGTTCTCATGTTGGCATTCAGAAAGCTGAGGTGGTGGTGGCTCACAGTCCCGAGAAACAGAGTCCTCATCCATGGAGAACACACCTGCACTTTCTTTCCCATAGGGTCTCCTCTTCCTCATCCTCACCCTCTTCTTCTAAGCCCAATAGTTCAAAAACAAGATTTCAAAAACTTGGGTGACATTAAACGCATCTTCATCCACCACCACAGTATGTACATCAGTTAGACTCCAGTTTAGGGTGAGTAAAGCATGCATGTTTTTCCTCCTCAGAGCTCTGCATCATCTGAACCGCCTGAAGATGCTGGTGGAAGAACCCAGACAGAAACACAGAGCGACAGAGGAAGAGAAGGACGACGACGAGGGGCGCTACTCGTCCTCATCTGTCGACAGACTGGTCTGTTCTCAGCAGGAACCCTCCAGAAACTGAACATTCAAAGGATGCTCGCTGTGCCAAAAGCCTCAATAGTATCTGCACTGTGTTTGTGTATTTTTTTTATAAGAAAGTGCAATTTTTTAAACACTAATACAACTCAGTTTAAACTATACCCTAAACCTTTAGAGTCAGGAAGTTTCCTGGACTGTTCTCTTTCTCAGACTCTGAGGAAGAGTCAGAACACAGCGATAATTTAAAAGAAGAGAAGAAAACGTGAAGGACAGACTCCGAGACGAGAAAAACATGCCACATCTTTTATATTTTGAATGTGTCTCAGGGGTTTGTGAATGCAACAGTATGGATGGATGGGCTTGATGCTTGTTGGTGCACAGACCGTTTTGTATTGATGGGTTTCATTCTGTTTGTAGACAGACTGTTGGTGCCATAAAGATTTACACACACTCATTCCTGTTGAAAATGAAGAGGTTACCGGGCAGTGTTCAGCCAGAGGGAAGAAAGATCATCAGTGCTGTTGTCAGTGATAGCTTTTCAGTTCCTTGCAGGTAAAACTACAATAAATTGCTTTTGCTGTAGAAAAGATGTACACGTGGAAGCACAACGTGTACTATTGTGACAATCCAGTCCGATTTTCTGAAGACTCAAGACTCCTGGATTGAAAATTGAAGTATTGAGCCATGGGTTGGGGGGGACCAGGGTGTTCAGATGTCTATCTTTATCTGGGACTGCACAGCATTTTTTATCAGGGAACGTTAAAAGTCACCAAAATTAACAACCTTTGCTGATTTTGTCGAATATCATAGAAACTAACAAAAAAAGAAGCAGAAAGATTTGAAGAAATTTTTTTTGTCTCTTTTGCTTGAGTTGGTTTTTTTTTTGGTTTTTTTTGTTTTTTGGTTTTTTTTGCAGAGGGAGGAAAAAGTTTGTGACACGGTAAATGTGTGTCGTAACTGAATAAAAATTACAATTGTCAGATATGGCTTTTTTTTAAAAAGGATGCCAATTTGTAGCTCCACCCAAATGGAAACCCAAAAACTGTTAGCAGACAGAAGAAGAGCTGGGGAAAAAGCATAAATGAAGACTGTCACATGAGACCGTGAGACTTACTCTCTCTATATATATATACATGCTAAATGATACTCTGATAACATTCAATTGATTGTATTTGTAAGTCAGATAAAGACCATTTCACTCAAAGTTGTTCTTCATACATCTTCAGGTTCAGGTTACCATAAGTAGATTTGTTCTGCAGCTGTGAGTCATCCGTCCTCACATGCACACTCAATACAGCCATAACAGACAAAAAATGTACATAATACAAAAAAAAAAAAAAAAGATCAGCACATTTGAATCTGACAGTAAAACCAGGGGACGATCATTTAGAAAATGATCATTTTTCAACTAAAGGATGAAACCATCAGGAAAGACGCAAAGGTCAGAGCAGGAGTAAGGCAATTTTCCCATGGACTAACAATCAGACTTTATTTATTGATCAGAGGAGTTGCCCCCTGCTGGGTCATTAGAAAGAATGCAGGTTCATAGTACTGCATCAGTTTCACTTTTCAAACAAAGACATGAAACCAGATGGTGTTTCCTCCATCCTCAGGATGACAGGACTCATACTGGCACAGAGGAACTTTAACCCTCTGATGCAGGAAGTATTTTTATTCACCTCGGGGTGAAGAAGACACTTGATGTTAAATGTTTAATGTGTGCTTCTAGCTGCTTGGCTTGGCTTTGCACAGCTCTCATTAAACATGTTTTGGTTTACAACCTCCATGGTGTCACTTCTTTGATTAATACAACTAAAAGTTCACGTCAATCTCAGATATCGATCACTACTCAATCAGAAATCTTATGTTACGACCAGATGTTAACCCTCCCATCACTCCCTGCCGAGATCACAGTCTCCCCCTTGTGGTCAAAGGTCACACTCTGCACACTGTCCCTGTGGCCCTCCAAGCTGCTCACACTGCCAGAGTCTACCTCCACCAGTTTCACCAAACCGTCGCTGCTGGCAACCGCCAGCATCTTCCCTGAGTGGTTGAACGCCACTTGGTTGGCACTAAGCGGCCCGGTGTCTCCAGCGGCCATCGGCGATGTGGGTTTTCTCATGTCCCACGTGTTGACGATGCCAGAAGAGTCACAGGAGGCCACCATGCTGGTCGCTGAGCTGAAGGCAGCATGGTTGCAGGGGTGATAATGTCCAAGAAAGGTGGTGGTGCAGACACCTAGCCTGGCATCCCACAGGGCGATGGTTTTGTCAGCGGAACAGGTGAGGAGGAGGTTGGAGGAAGGTAGGAAGCAGACGCTGTTGACGGAGGCGGTGTGTTGGCGCAGTGTGAGGCGACAGCGCTGGCTGTTCAGGTCCCACAGCTTGGCGGTTCTGTCAGCAGAGCAGGAGGCCAGGAAGTGACCACATGAGTGAAAGGAGCATGCCCAGGTGGGCTGGGCATGGCCAGAGAGCATCAGTACACAGCAGCCACGAGAGAAGTCCCAGAGCCGCACCTGCAGGAAGAAGTACACATCTGTAACCAATGAGGTGGGTTTATTCTGTGTTGTCATCAGGACCAACTTACTGTCATGTCTCCGCTGGTTGTCGCTAATTTTGATCCATCAGGGTGAAAGCTACAACCGGACAGCCAATCAGAGTGACCCTCACCAGTCAGCAGCATCTCACCCACCTGGCAACACAGTAGGTGACATCACACGTCAGTGCATCATCCAATCAGAGTGACCCTCACGTGTCACCTCCCCACCTCCTCTTAAAGCTTTCACCTCCTCTCACCTTTTCTCTTTCTTCTGGGAGAACCCACAATCTCCAGGTGCTGTCATCACTGGCCGAGACAAGGATCAGTTTTCTTGGATGCAGGTCGATGCAGCTGATTGGCTGCTGATGCGCTCTTATAGAGCATGCGAGGCTGAAAGATGCGAAGCTTTTGTGAGAGTTCATTTGTTCCAGGTAGGCCCTTGGGAGCCCACTGCAGGGGGGGAACTCCGAGTCCTTCAAGCGTGCAGTGGTCTTTGCTGGTGGTTTCTCCTTCCTCCTCTCCTCCTTCACCTGCGCTGGTGTAGGGTCTGTGCTGCTTTGCAGTCTCTCTCTGTGGAAGCTGAGGAGCATCTTCTGCCTGACAGCTGTTTGGTATTTCTCCTCCAGCTGCCTGAGCACGGGGTCGTACGACTGCAGATGTTTCTTCAGTTGTTTGAAGTCCTCTGTGAGCCTCCTTTTGTCCTCGGAGACTCGCCGGTGCTGCAGCCGGTGAAAGTCCCGCTCCCTCTGTATCCTCACTAGGCTCGCTCCTGCACCCAGCACCTCCTCCCTGAGCAGCTCCGTCTCTGCGCGCACCGCCTCCAGCTCGCTCTGGAGGAGGCGTCGGTGTGTGAGAGCATCGGGGATGAAGTAGACCCCCGGGGCCGCCGTGGCTACGGTGTTCAGGGTGTCTGTGAGGCGCCTGAGCGCCGAGCCGTACCACTCCACCTCGAAGCGGCTCAGAGTCCGCGTCAGGCCGGCTCTGCGCAAGAAGTTCCTCAGGAAGTCGTCCACCGCCTCGGGGATGTTAGACAGAGTTTGCGCTTGTGGCGGTTCAGAATTTCTCTTGGGAGCTGCTGAGGAGGAGAGAGCCTCCTCAGACTTCTCCTCCTCTTCGTTCTCCTCAGCACTGCTCCTCTCCTCCACTTCCTCCGCTCCTCGTCTTGTGTCTGACATTTTCTCCCCTTCGCCTCGGAGCTTATTGTTTACGCGTTGCTATGGTATTAGCTCTGCGTTGCTTAGCGTGTTACCACGGTAACCGCGTGACCCCCTGGGTATGCGTTTGCTTAATAGGTTTTGTGGTTATTAAAATGCATACATATTTTACATTTTAAATGTTTTTAATTATTTGTTTTCATGCTTTCGTTTTTATTTCCTGTTTTTCCTTCAAGTGTTCTCTCTCTCTCTCTATCTATCTATCTATCTATCTATCTATATATTTTTAAAATATATATATTTTTAAATATTGTATAATATTGATTATACAAATATTACTTTCTCATCATAACGGTGTACATTTAAGAGGAAAAAAATTTAACTTACAGAGGTTATAAAGAAAAAGTCCTAAATTTTCACTTTAAAGTCATACGTTTGTAGTAATTTTCGGATATTAAAGACACATATATACAAGACGAAATAACTGTGATTTTATTTTTCAGTTGCTTTTAACACTTTTAACAGCTGTCTTTTTACTCCAGCACGTACACCACTTTTAACTACTAGAAGGGGTGAGATTTAGAGAGGAAAACACACACAAAAATGCTACATTCTTTGTAACATTTTTGCAGGTAACAGCTGGTATATCCGGCACAGGTGTATTGAGACGTGCTGACCGATAGAGGGCGCGCAGGATGCGCAGTGTGCGGCTGCGTTATACGTTAGCTCATCACATGACTGTCAGGAGGAAAAATAGAGCAGGAAGAGAGTTTTCTTTCTCTTTGTTGTTGTAAACATTTAGTTTTCACAATAATACGGAAGAGCAGCTTTGTGCTCTGAAGATTCATGGATCTAAAAAAGTGCAATTCTGTTTCTGGGTGGTGACGGTTCACTTTCATGGTGCTGAAACCAAAGAAAAGACCAAGCCAAACTTCGCCTTAAATTTGCTTCATTTAAAATAATCTGGATTCTCCTCCGAGGTACGTAAATGTTAAGACGTGATTTTATGATTTATTATGTTATAGCATAATGAATGTTAATTCTGCCTGCATTTGGCCTGTTTAATGTGAGAGATTTTGTGTAATAGTGATTGTAACGTGTTCCAGTCGATTGTTCTGGTGGCACACTTGATGCTAAAATGAAGCTAACTGCAGTTCCTGTGTCTCTTCAGATTTACAATAATACATTTTCTGAAATCAGTCAATGTTGACATCGTTTGATGTTTGCTGGGATGGATTGTGAATCTGAGTTTAAACTTACATTTGCCGTGTGTACCAATTAAAGAGATTTTCAAATAGAGTCTGGCCGAAGTGTTTTTAGCAACAAAAAGCGGTGGAGGAAATCCAAATAAAACGGTTACATTTACAAAAATGATACTTTATATTCTGCTTCAGACTTTTAAGGATCTAAAGTACACTTTCTTTTTTCTTTTTTATAACTATCGACGTCCCGCTGTGGATGCATAACGGTGATCTAATGTTGTTTTAAGTTAGCGGTCAGTGCATGAAGAGGAAGTGTTTTAGGTGAATTATTGCTAATGGAGTGAACGCTACTGAAGTTTTAAAAGAAATTGAGCAATATTACCTTTTACCTTCTTCATCCTTTAGTTGAGAAAAGTGACATTAAGTGGGTTAGATTGTCATGTTAATATTGTGATGTCAGTGTTTTGAAGTCTGTTAAATAATCGCTGACATACAGTAACTAAATACATTTACTCAAGTAGCTCTGCCTGTTTCACAGCTCAAAATAATCCTTTTTTAATTTTACTGTCTACTGTTTCATGTCACTTGTCTCAAACGACCTGCTTTAGCTCCTCCCACTTTAAGCCACCTTTCTTCTGATTGGCTGTCTTCTGTAAACAGAAATTCTGTGGCGAGATGACTAGAAATAAGGAAAATAGGTCCGCTTAATCTACTAAAATGTGTAGGAACTTTATACTGAGTAGCGGTGAAAAAGAGAACATTGTGTCTGCTTAAAATAATGTGCGGAAACTTTAAGGTGGCCTGAATCCTTTCTTCATCTACCTTATTTATAGACTTTTATTCTGAAGAAAATGTATCTGCACACTTAGTAACCTCAGTACTAGCAGAGGTTGTAAACTAATGTACCAAAAATAGCCCCCTTCAGGCACCCCCCCCCCCCCCCCCCCCCCCCCCCCCCCTGCAAAAAAACAAAAAGAAATCCCTGTGCACCTGTGCAGGTGCATGATCAGTTTCCTGGCTGGCTGACAGGCCACAAATGGTTCCTTCCTCTCACCCTCAGCACTGGAGCTCCATAAAATTATGTGCCGAGAGCAGGACTGTTCTCAAATAATAATGCATCTGCCCACTGGTATGAAATCAACCACCTTTCACCTGGTATAAGGAGAGCAACTTTGAGCTGAACTCAGGAAACCGAGGGGACCATGAAAAAACAGCAGAGTATTATTCTACCCTCTCAGTATAAATCAGGCCTAGGTAGAGAAAGTGGATAACTTCAAGTAACACCCTGCTGAAGAAATCCCATCAAGGCTTCTACAACCTCATGCGATTAAAGTACTTCAAACTCCTGCTCAGGGCGCTTAGGAATCTCTGCACTTCTGGGAAGGGTGCATCATTCCCTGGGCATGACCACTTATCCATCAGGAGGGTAGTTGATTCAGCTGAGAGAAGAGGATGTGTACTTCAGATGATGCAGATCTAGAGCCGAGAGGATCGCGGGAGATTCTTCCAGCCACCCTAACAGCTGACTGCCATTGGGGAGACACTACTGTGTGCTGTTTATGTGCTGCCAGCACAGAAACAATATGGAGAAGCTTTGATCTTCATGCCATCAGACTGCTAAAGCCCACACCACCCACTACCTACACATTACTCAGCTACTCAGTGAGATCAATGGTTTGAATGTCTGTCAGCTAATATTAAAAGAAAAAGTTGATTGGAATTCTTGTGTTTATGTCTTCTTCTTTATTTGTGTACAGCCAGAGTGCTGGATATTATACTTGTATAAATGTGTATGTAAGAAATAATCTTAAAACCTGAAGTTAAATGTCTCTGTCTTTATACTTTCAAAGAACCAAATGACTACAGTAGACACAAACTGAATAATCATAATAAACGCTGACTTGTTCCCTGTAGGGTCAGAGGTCACCATGGGCTCTGCAGTGGAAAGGACAGATGAGCATGTGAGGGAGTATCTGATCTACCGTGGCTTCACCAACACTCTGAAACATCTGGACTACGACATAAAAGCTGACAAGGAGAAAGGCTTCAGGGTATGGCTGGCAGAAACGTTGTTGGATGTATTTCTGTTTCCTCACAGCCTCACAGTAAAATAGTCACATCATCTGGAAGTTGGAGAAAGGAGCTTGCAATGGTGTGAAGGGTTAACGAAAAAAGCTGCTATTTCAGGTTTTTGAAGACGTTTCTTCTTTCAGCAGAAAAAGGACACTGAATAACTTTTCATTATTTTTGTGCTGTGCAGGTGGATAAAATCATCGATCAGCTGCAGCAGTTTGTCCAGAGCTTTGACCTGGCTGGTCTGAAGGAATATTGGGTCTACCTGGATAAACGTCTGTTCAGCAGACTCGAGGATGTTTACAGATCCACCGTCAACAAGCTGAGGATCAGCCTGTACAGATACTACATCATCAACACCGTGCAGGTATCACCTCATGGAGAAATCAGACATCCTGCTGCGTGTTTCTGAAACAAAGATTTAAAAATCTATCTCGTCCTTCCAGAAAGGAAACCTGGAGAAGACTCAGGAGTTTTTCCAGAAGCAGGCGTCAGAGCTGCAGGGTCAGGCTGAGTGGCGTGATTGGTTCATCCTGCCATTTATCTCCTCCCCTGAGCAGAACTCCGCCTTCTGTCAGTACTTCTCCCGCCAGTGGTCTGACACCTTCCTGGTTTCACTGCATAACTTCCTGTCGGTGCTCTTCCAGTGTATGCATATCCTTGAGTTTGAAACACACAGCCAGCCTTAATATTCAACATGCTCTGACAATTTAGAGGCGGCCGCACTGATCTGCTGGAATTCAGTTTTCAGTCCTTAACTTGTTTCCCACCTCAGCCTGTCCTCCTCAGCTTCGATGCTGAAGTCCAGAAGATGACCTGCCTGATGGAGGAGAACGAACAGCTCCGTCAGCTGGTGAGAGAGTGCATTTCATTTTAAATTAAATCAATTTTGCATGAATAATGCAAATGTAGATTTGTTCAAAAAAGCTACAACTGATCCCGTCGTTTACTTTTAATCACCCGTCATGCAAATTAAGTCTCATTATTTAGCTTAAAAATTAATTTCAATGGGTTTCCAAAAGTTCTGTTTACTAATTAAAATCAAATCAAATCCTATTAATTCTCACTGTATTAATCCCATGATTTGGCCACCACTCCGTGCCACTTTATTAGGTACACCGTACTCCATTGAACCCCCTTTTGCCTTCAGAATCACTTAAATTCTTCATGGAATATTTGACAAATGTCCTCTGTTAGGTGGATATCAAGTGACTGTGGAGGCCATTTAGTATAGTGAACTCATTGTCCTGTTAAAGAAATCAGTTTGAGATGATTTGAACTTTGGAACATAGCAAATTGTCCCAAAACATCCATTGTAAAATGTTACATTGTGCTTGCGGAAATGGTTGACAGCAATGCTCAGGTAGGCTGTGGCATTTAGTTGTTACTCATTGGGCCAAAAGTGTGCCTAGAAAATAATCTCCACACCTTCCTATCCGGCTTGATGTAGCTGAGGCACTGACCTAAGCAAGACATTTCGATTGAGAAAAGCCACTCAGAGGATATTTTCTACTCTTCATCCCATTCTCTGTAAACCCTAGAGATAGAGGTTGCGTGGGAAAATCGCAGTAGATCAACCTGGCACCACCAACCACGCCACATTCAGAGTCAGTTAAATCCCATTTGTTCCTGATTCCGATGCTTTGTTTGAACTTCTGCCGGTCGTCTTGACCATGTCTACGTGCTTAATTGCACTGAGTCGCTGCCATGTGATTGGTTTATTCCATTTTTGAACTAACAAAAAGTTGGACACTAGTACTTAAAAACATAGACTAAGTGTAAAAGTTTTTTCATGAAACAAAGTTTTAAAATGTGATGTGCTCCATGCTAAGCTGTAGTCAGGGTAGACGTTACGTCTGACCTGTCTGCTGTATCTTCGCCAGCTGTTCGCCCTGCAGACGGAGAGCCGGGATCAGAGGGATAGAGATGAGATGATCCACCACAAGCTGCCGACATACGTCCAGAACATGGACCGACTGGGAGACACTGAGCTGTGAGAGACTAACATCACTGTCTTTACTGATGACTAACCACAGCAAAGATGGCTGCCATTCTGTCCATTTTTAAACACTGCCAACATCATGATGTTTTTAACCATCAATAGTCAGCTCATTTCTAAAATTAATGCCATGCTTTAAAAATTACAAAGTATTTTTATGGAAAAACTGGCGTATTGTGCTTGTATTTATCACTTTGAAACTCTTAATGTGTTTTGTGCTGTGAGTTGCAGATGGCAGCCATCTTAAACCTTAAAATATTAATCAAGATTTTTATCCATTGCAGCTTTGTGGTTTCGTTTGTTTTTATTTTGTTTTCTTAAGTTACATTTTAACACAAAGCACAGAACGAACATGGACTGATGTTAGCATGGTTCAGGCCTAAATGACAACTAAGGTTGTTGCACTTTTTGTGACAGTATTTATTTAATAAATGACGTAATCTCATATTTTCATATTCAGGCACTTTAAATCAAACAAAACTGAGTTATTTTATATTTATCCATATAAAAAAACCCTATTTAAAACCATATTTTAGCTAACGTATTGTTGCCAAAAATGCCAAAATATTTATGCTGTTGCAGTATTTAAACTGTGTGCTGTAATGCGGTTGATGTTTCACAATAAACAATTCACCTGATGAATTGTTCCATTGAGCCATTTTTTTTTTTTGTTAAACTTCCAGGCGATCGATAGACCGGGCCAGCAAATACACTTCCCCAATAAACTTTAAAATACTCTAAAAAAATGTGATTGACAGAAGTATCTTTTAAGAAGTTAGTTAAAGCTCCTCATCTGGATCGTTGACGGGGCTTGAATCGATGTTGGACCCGATCTGAAATGGACCCAGAAAAAACCCAAACTCAACACACTTTTTATTTTAATGGATGCTAAGAGGTTAGTTGGCTGATGATGGCTGATGATAAGGCAACCTAACTTTTGCAGTAAGTGTTGTTAGACAATTACACATTCATTATTTCCTCTTCAAATGAATAATTCAATGCATGATGGTGATAAACCACACCCACCAAGTATTATACACAAAAATGGTCTTGACAACAAACACATGGTGACCCATTTGGTTCTGAAGTGGACTGAAGAAGACCTCTAACAAGAAGCCCTTGGATCCATTCATTTTCTTCTGCTTATCCAGTTCAAGGTCGTGGCTGTGCTAAAGCCTGTCCCAGCTGCCATAGTGCCACAGGGCAAGAGGTGGGGTTAACTCTGGAAAGGCAGCCAGACTGTCCCAGGTCCAACACAGAGAGACGGACAACAATTCATACTCACATTCATACCTAAGGTTTTTGCATTACCAATTAACCTAATTCCATGCATGTTTTTGGACTCCAGGAGGAAGCCAGAATTCCTGGAGAAAACCCACGTAGATACTGGAAGAACATATAAACTGGAACTCCGCACAGAAAGCCTGCAACCAGATGGTGGATTTGAACCCAGGGCGTTCTTGCTGTGAGGCAGCAGTGCTAACCGGTGAAGCAAAATCCTCGTGGTTCTGAAGTGGATTTATGAAGACTTTTACCAGGGAGCACTGACTTGATTTTCTACTTTTTTGGAGTAACTAAAATACAGTAGACCCAAAAAGATCTTGACCAGAGATCACTGATAACAAAGCCACGATACCCCACTTGATTCTGAGTAACTGAGAAGCCTGGGGACCAATAAAGATCTCTACCAGGAAGCAAAGGAGCCCTGGCAACAAAGACTATGTCTCCCACCTATTCACAGGAAGAAGCAACACATCTTTGGCTGAGGATCTCAGACTGCACATAGGTTTTTGGGCCAACCCCCCCTTCCTCAAAAAAAGCTACTTTCGTCTGTGCCCTTGTCAGAAGAGGTCACCACAGCTCTGCATCTTTGATTTGGCAGAGTTGTATGTTGGATTCCCTTACTGAAACAAGGGGATTTGTGTCTCAATACACTAAAATCTCACGCACGGTTATGAAGAGAATTAGAAAAATTCTTCAAAATTGAAAAACCAACTGGTAAGCATAGTAGTAAGGGTAGAAAAAAAAGTTTTTTAGGCAGTCAAAAGTCTAACCTTATTTTTTACTTACTGAAAATATAAAAGTTTTAATGACCTAAGTATCTTTGATAGTGATTGGTCCATTTATAGAGGTCTCTTTTGGAAGGTCATAGCAAGACTGGACAGAAATGGCCTGTCACACCTTGGTTTTGATATGGTGCAAACAGTGTTGTTGCTTCATAGTGAGAACTGCTCTATAAGTCCAATGAACAGCAACCGGCGAACCAGCAGCACGGTCATTGAAACCCCACGAACTATTGATGCTCATGGGGTCGAAAGGCTTGCTGGCAAAGAGCTACAAATCATTGAAGACCTTGATGCTACTTTTTGTCAGAAAGTGTCAGAACACACATAGTGCAGCTCTACTTGTTGAAAATGAACGTGTATAGCTGTAGACCAGTCAGTTTACACATGTGGACACCTGTCCACCAGCGAATGTTCACCCAACTGGACAAGTGAGCAGCGCAAAAGGATAAATGCCAGATGCATGTTCATCATGTGCTTAAAAAGGAAGAGATGGCAATTATGTGATCAAGACAAGTCGGCATAGCCAGTATGATATCTTGGGTTCTGGTGTTTATTGTGCTCACTTTAACTATCCAAAAATTGTCGCAAAACTCATACCCTTTCATGGCAATGGCATTTGCTGATAGCTGTGGTCTCTTTGCTTGGATTCACTGTAGTAGTATGCTGTTTTAAAACTTCCTTTCTTTTATTCTCTTTGTAGGGACTTAGTGACGAGCCAGCGAGCTGTCAGCACTGCCACCACCCCTACCAGAAACTTCTTCTCAACATTCCTACCACAAGGCAGACGAGCCCCAGGGAAACCAATGCAAGCCATCTCTGGGTCCTCACCAAGCCAGGCAGCAATGGGCAGGAAGGACCCACTGAGTAATCAGGTGAGCACAAGGAATTGCCAAATTCACAGATTTAAAAAAAGACCTTGACTCACAGACTGGATGGTTGTTTATTTAACAAAATTGGTTTTTTTGCAACTAGTGAGTCAGAGACAGGTCATCTTATGTTCAAAAGCTGATGATTGTATATGGAAAGTGAAAGACCCTTCACTTTAGAAATTTGGTACTTGGGACAGTATACCTTCTTCTGAGTTACCATCTCATCAGGAAGATGATAAAGACTAACAAACCCTAATAAAGAAATGTCTCCAACTAGTTGGATTTTGATGCTAGTTTCTAATGTTGCCCTAGCAGTCTACATAGTCAAATGTATGGGGTATCTGGTTGTTGTTATGGGCTATTTGGCAACATGTACAACTGTTGTAAGAGCTTGGATTGTATTGTCAGTAACAAGTCAGACTTGTTCCTGTTGGAACTTAGTTGGGGAGATTTGGACACCTCTTATGTGAGGTGTGTCGGGCACACACAGGAGACTCCCAACACAGATCCAGGACACACCAGAGAGGTCAAGTCTTTTAATTGGCTTGGGAAGATACAAAAAAAGCTGAAGTCAGGAGTAAGGGAGGCCTAGGCCTCTTTGCTTATACTACCAATGTGATCTGGACCCAGATTAGTGATAGAAAATGGATAGGAAATGGCAAAGATTCATGATGTACAATGGGCGGTAACCAACCTGTCCAATAAGAGATGTCTGTTAAGGACTCTGCAGCAGACTAAATTTCACACTGATTCAGGATCGAGGCTTGATTGGGTTCATTGGGTGTGTCCATTAGTATAATAAATATTGGGTAATGAATTTGATATTTTAATTATTTTCTACCACAAAGTTTGAAAATCATTCCCTCAGAGAGTAATAGCAAGCTGCACTCGTGTTCCAGTTTTCTACATCTACGGTTGTAATCATTTCCATCTTTTTTAGCCTGTGAAATCTAAAGAAGCAGGCCAAGTTAAGGAGGTGAAGCCAGCATCTACCCAGTCATCAACCAGTGAACCAGTGAGCTCCCAGTCCCAGCTGTCTACAAACCAGTCAGGGAACCAGAATTCGAGACACAAAAGAATCCAAGATCATGAGAAGGAGAGAAAGGAGCTTTTCTCCAAACCACCACCACAGGTATAGTTGCATCCTTTAGATATGCAACAAATGCGATGCCCTTAGTCTTACCTTACCTGTGGAGGTAAAGGTCAGCTATGTTCAAACAGTTTTGCGAGTGGTCAACCTGCACTTTGAATTAGTATGCTGGAAGACAATAATTTTTTGGTCTGGTGAGCCCTTTCATGTGTTATCTTCAGGCACCAGAGAAGAAAGGGGAGCTGGGGGAGGTCGAGCCTCCCATTGAGTCCTCAAGTGAACCTACCGATTCCTCAAACAGCAGAAGCTGCGGTGCAAGCCAAGAGGAACCTCCCTTCATTAAACTCAGCCAGGAGGAGTACGGAGAACACCACTCATCCATCATGCACTGCAGGTCTGTTTGTCACAATTCACCCACTTTAACGATAAAAACAAAAACTCAGCCTTAATTAGTTTTTTTTTTCTTTCTGTTGCCCTTCGCTTGTTTTCAAGGGTTGACTGTTCTGGTCGCCGTGTCGCTAGCTTGGATGTTGACGGAGTCATCAAGGTAAACCTGCATTTCATAGTCTTCAAGCTACGGTATTCTAACAGCATATACTGACTGGAAAACTCATGAAAGACTTCTTCCTCTGCCCCTCCTACTCCGTCAGGTGTGGTCGTTCAACCCCATCATGCAGACCAAAGCCACCATCATGTCCAAATCTCCTCTAATGTCTCTGGAGTGGGCCACCAAACCAGACCGACTGGTAGCAGTGTTTACTTTCAGATACATTGATTTTATAAATATTCTGATAAGGTAACATTTTACCATGCACTAGGTCACCAATGATCCACCTAACGTTACGGTTAGGATTTCGTTACTTGTTTTCAGACAGTTGTCTCTAGTGCAATGCATACAGAACAATTGCACTGCCAAAATTAATTTGCAAGACTTAATTTGAAAGGTAAAATCTCTTAGTTCTTTGATATTTGCCTATTTAGCACTAGTCAAAACAAAAACCCAACCCTAAGCCTAAACCCCAAGGTTGCTTGTGACCTAGTTGATACACCAAACACATCTGTCCAACAGTAAAATGTATGTTTGCATGTGTGTGTGATCAGTTGTTATTAGGCAGCGGCGTTGGCACAGTACGGTTGTACGATACGGAAGCCAAGAAGAATCTCTATGAGATGAACATCGACGAGGCTCATCCACGGTAAACCTGCACCCTGGAGCTCCTCACTAACATAATTAGGACCAATTTCTGCCTCTTTGTTGGCTTTGTATTGCATGAAAGTGCCTCCTTGCTGAGACAAAAAAAGTGTCTAAAAGCTGCAGCTCAGGAACTCAGAAGTTTTTATGGAGCGCTAAACTGAAAATCTGATCCAAATGTGGTTATGTTTCAGTATCAGTAATGTTGTTATGTGCCAAAATTAATGTTAACCCATCCGATAGTGATGGAGCTAAAATGGGCGGTGCTCTTTTATTTTATTACATTATAATTTGACCAAATTGAATGGAACTACGTCCATAAACTAGATTTACTGTGTCTTCAACAGTCGAGGTCATCTCCATATGAGAATGTATTTTTCTGCGTTTCAGTATCTTGTCTTTAGCCTGCAGCCCCAGCGGTTCATCATTCGTCTGTTCAGCTGCAGCTCACAGTCGATCTGGAAGTGGCGAGTCTGCTCCTCGACTTCCCATAACGGTGTCTGGTCAGCTGCTGCTATGGGACACCAAGACTGTCAAACAGCAGGTGGTTAACTGATCATTTAGCTAATATGTCTGCACATCAGTCCAAGACCAGGAACAGGAACCACTGGGTTTAAAGAATGTGTATTTAAAACCCCAGCTGTAGCAGAAAACTGGAGCAATATAAACTCCAACTGCACAGACTGAGTCAAGGCGTCCAGTTCAGGTAGCTGACGTGAAGCCTCAGGGAGCTAGCAGCTCAGAGGGCAACCATGTGTCAATCAAAGTGGCCACACCCTTAATTTTAAGCTGCAATGGGGGTCAAAATGGTTTATGTATAAGCACATTCATACACAGTAGTGTTATGACCTTTAGAGGCAAAACTGCTTTTTAGCAGGCTGTAAATGTATTTATTTCTCCTGTAAAGCTGGACGTTTTACGCCAAAAAGGTCTATGGGACTGATTCACTTCTAGAGTGAGCCTCCAGTGGACATGATTAGAGCTGCAGTTTTTGGCACTTCAGCCCTATAGGTGCTGCTTAAACTGTGTTTGCACATTTTAAACAGGCTACCTGACTGCTCTGGCAAACCTGAAACCTGTTTCCAAGAAAGGTTTGGGTATTAACTCAACTTTTCCTCTGTTATGTGCCTGACTATGAGCTCCAATTCAGTTTCCTTGACAGTTACAGTTAAACTAGTTAAACTGCTCTTTTTATTTCCTGGTTGTAGCATAATGTTCTGACTTTCTGTCTTTCAGCTCCAGTTCTCTTTGGAGCCAGAACCAGTAGCCATAAACTGCACAGCCTTCAATCACAATGGAAACCTGCTGGTGACTGGAGCCGCTGACGGAGTCATCAGACTGTTTGGTCTGTGTTCATACTCGATTCATCCAAAGATTATTTTCAAGGAGGATTAATCTGTCACTTACCAAAACCCAAGTAAGTTAAATACATTTCTGTCCTCTGTCTTCTGTAGATATGCAGCGGTATGAGAGCGCGATGAGCTGGAGAGCTCATGATGGGGAAGTTTACAGTGTGGAGTTCAGCTATGATGAAAATACCGTCTTCAGCATCGGAGAAGATGGCAAGGTGCGTGAAAGCCAGAACTAGTGTAGCTCCGTCTGTTCTCCTTATGTTACTCAGGAAAGTCAAGAAAGTGTGTGTGTGTGTGTGTGTGTGTGTGTGTGTGT